ACTCCTTGGAGATAAAGAGAATTGAACTCTTTCCTTAGGTTTGCAATACCTATATACTACCTTTATATTATATCCCCTTTTTATGCCAATAATGTGATTTGAACACATTACTTCCCTTTGGAAGAGGGACGGTTTACCATTTAACCTATATTGGCTTTTATATAACCTACTTGGAGAAATTGGTAGACTCAAACGACTTAAAATTGTTTGCTATTAGCGTGAGGGTTCGAATCCCTCAGTAGGTAATAAATCAAATTATTTAATAATTCGAGAAGTACGCATTTCGGTATTGCAATCATCCTGTAAAGATGATGGATTTATCCATTTTGGGTTCGAATCCCAAACTTCTCATAAAAAAAGAAGGGGAGATAGCTTAATGGTAAAGCTTACTGCTCATAACAGGAAAGATATTAGTTCAAATCTAATTCTCCTCAATATGCGAATTAGTGTAAAAGGTAGCATATTAGACTCATGATCTCATGGTGATTGTTCAAATCAATCATTCGCACAAGATCCCATCATCTAAGGGTAGGATATAATATCTTCATTATTAATATGTTCGTTCGAATCGTACTGGGATCATATATTTTATATTAAAAATTATAAGCCGTTTAGGACTATCATAATTTTTGATATTTAGAATCGTAACTTAACGGTAAAAGTTTTTGTTTGATAAGCAAAATATAATGGTTCAATTCCATTCGATTCTAATTACGGCTTTGACCGTCTACGAAACGGCAACTTGATGTTCGACAAACAACAGCTTTCCTTAAGCTACAAAGCCTATTTTATATATAAGACCAAGTAGCATAATAGGTAATGTTATAGATTGCAAATCTTTTAGATAAGTGTTCAATTCACTTCTTGGTCTTTAAAAAAATTATTTTTTTGGGAATATAACTTAATGGTAGAGTATCAGATTTTTAATCTGTATTGTTTGGGTTCAATTCCCAATATTCTCATTATATTTAAGCCTTAATAGCTTAACAGGTTAAAAGTACAGAACTGAAAATTCTGGGTAGGATGTTCGAGTCATCCTTGAGGCAAATTTTATAGCGGGAAAGGGTATGAATCCTTAATATTCGTGTATGAAACGAATGTTTTACTTTAAACTATCCTGCCCTACATACATATATATGTATGTTAATATTTTTGGATGGAGGGATTCGAACCCCCGTATATCGAATTCAAATTTCGAGGCCTTACCTACTTGGCTACATCCAATATAATTTCCCCCCCCCCCTTACATTTATGTGTGAAATAATTAAAATAATAATAAATAAGCCGAGTATGGAATTTGAATCCATAGTAAGTAATTTACAAGATTACTGCTTTACCAATTAAGCTAACTCGACAGAAAGAT